AGTCAGTGAGTTGGTGATAACTGACCTGTATCCAGCAGATGAACCACGAATGATGTACCACACTAGGTGGTTGGCCGTCATCTACCTGAATCTTGTCTCTATACTGTTGACGTGAAGCCCATTCATTTAGGGCGTCCTTTATTTGCTTCGAAATCTTAGGATCCTTTTGAGCTTGTTCAACCTTGCGGACTCCAATAGGTGCTGGTGTCCAGTCTTTTGGTCGACCTGGGTGAAGTGGATTGAGTATCCAGCAGTCGGGTAAAGCGTGTGACAGCCCACAAACACAAGGTAGGTTTGCAATCCCAAGCTTAGCAGCTGAGGTAGATAGCACACTTGACTCAGTGGCAGTGGTCTGGGCAGCTCGGCGGATGTACTTCGTCATCTTTTCGACGTAGGCGGGCAAGCTGAGTAGATTTGTACCGTTTATCTCGTGTTCGTATATCTGATCGAGGCAGGTAGCAGCGTAGTTTGGATAGTGAGCTTGGCAGGCAATCAGGAAATCCTCCTGAGGCCTGTAGCTAGTTGTCTCTGGTAGGTTGATCGATTGGCATTGAGAAGTGATGTGTATCCAGTCAGCCATCCATTCATCGAGTTTCTTTAGGTTGCGTGGAGCGGTCTTCAGATTGGTGTATCTTGCTATCAAGTCGCGACTCCGATCGGCTGTAGAAGGACAGAATTGCTTCTTGAGAGCGACAAGTCGATCGTACACAGTAGGGAGATCCTGTATTAGGTAGAGATGACGCGTGGCGATAGACCTAGTGATCTCTGTATTTAGCTGCACCAGAGCTCTCTCTTGTTTCTGCAGCGTGATCTCGTCGAGTCTCCATTGTTCAACCTCCCATCGGTAGGAATCACGATCCTCAGTGGATAGATCCATACATGGGCAGCTTAACGCGTTTGCGTAAAACGTTTTAGCTTAAAACGTTTTAAAACGCTTTAACAGCTTAAACTGTTCACGCGTTTAAGAAAATCCTTAAACGCGTGAACGATTTAAAAACGCTATAAGAGGCTTGGCGCCAAGCACCCCACCTTTGCATCTCAAAAACTCTGCAACCACTCCCCACTAACCTGAAATCTCAACAAATCCATTATCTATAGCATCTATTATCGTTATGTCATCGAATACCTTGTCAGCAAGTGCGATATCAACGCCACCGTCGCGAAGACCCGCAACGCCGCCACACTTTGACGCTGTTATACGAACCGAAACTGTCTGTAACACCAGCAATGCAAAGCGCCAGCGTTTGAAAAAGCAGTATGTGTGCAAACGCTGTCGCTCATGGTTTAGCAGTCACCGAGTAAACTCTATCCACCATGTTCTAGCATATCATACAACGTCAGAGTCTTCTCAGCCCTCGCAAACTTCTTCTTCGTCGTCGCAACCAGCTATCACTTCAGTGTTTAGGACTGTCTCTGATCAGACAATTATCCGCAACGCCTTCAATGAACAAGGGTATCGCGATGCGCTTGTCGGTCTTCTGACTCGACGTCGAATAGCCTTTTCATCAATCGAATGGTCTGAAATGAGGGATCTAGCGCTTGCTTGCAATCCATTTATTGAAGACCAGCTTATCACAAGTCGACGTACAGCCGTACGTCTTATCGCCTCGAATTATCAGCTTTATAAAGGCCATGTAATTAAAGGCAGCTTATCGACGGCTGTGAGTCCTATCCACATATCAACCGATCTCTGGACATCACCGTTCCGTTCATCTCTCCTTGCTGTATGCGCACAGTGGGTCGATCACGAATATAAGCTTCAGAAGGCTCTTTTAGGACTGCCAGAATGTCGTTACAGCCACTCTGGAGAACAGCAAGCGCACTTACTTCTTCAAACCCTCGAGGAATATGGGATACAGTCTAGAGTTGGCTGGCATACGGGTGATAACGCAACATCTAACGATACCTGTTTGGAGCATCTTGAAACCCTCCTTCGAACTAAGCACAACGTAAGCATGGCTTTTAATATAAAAATCGGCCTTCGCTGCTTAAGTTACGCGATGGTGCTAATATTAACAAGGTTAAATTTACTGCTAAAGAGCGCCGTATCCGATGTATCGGTCATATTATCAATTTATCCTTGCAGGCATTCCTGCTTGCATCCTCTAAGGAGGCTCTTACCGCTGCTCTCGACGCCGTAACGGATGTTATGGGGGAAGAGCTTCTCGCAGAGTTTTCAAGCGTTCTTACTTCTCGACAGAGAAACCCTAGAGCCCAAGCCCAAGCTGTTCCACAAACCTCACAGAGACAAAGGTTGTCTCGCCGAAGACGCAGCGTTGATAGCCATGGGTCTGTTGATGAGGACTTTTGTGGTATTGAGAACATCTCTACACTACGCAAATTACATCAACTATGTGTCTGGCTGCGCAACTCAAGTATACATGCAGCAGAGTGGGATCGCAAGGTAGGCCTCCGCTTAGGGATTGACAATCAGACTCGGTGGTCTTCATGGTACTCAGTTATGGATCGGGCTATTAAGAAGATGGCTGCAATTAAGGTCTTTATGCACGATAACGAGAAACACCTTAACGAGATCCGTCTTACTTCTGACGACTGGGATATACTACAAAAAGCACATACATTTTTACAACCATTTGCATCAGCAACGCTATACGCGGAGGGAGATAAATCGTCTATCTCTCAATCTCTTTTGATTATGGACTCTCTTTTAGTCCACTATGAGCAGCAAAAGGTAAGCATTAACGTGTTATCCGAACTTTAAGTCTTCGGTTAACAGCTTTATAGATACATTACTCTAAAGATGAAAATGAGGACCTTCGCATGGTTCGATCGATCGAGATGGGCTGGTTCGTACTTGAGAAGTACTACAACATGACTGATCAGGTTCCGGTGTACGCTTCCGCTATTCTTCTAAATCCCGCAAGTAGAGCAGCATATCTCAAGAAGAACTGGCCAGCCGAATGGTACGAACCAGCTATTAACGCTGCTCAAAACTTTTGGGTGAATGAGTTTAAGGACGCTTTGCCTTTAGCTAGCCCTACAGCTTCTCAACAAATGGCTCCTCCTTTAAAGCAACGCGGTGCCGTTCTCGATCAGATTCTACAACAGATGTCAGTTGCGGCGGCAGATCAATCAAACAGCGACGATCTTAAAATTTTCGCAGAAAGTCCAGTAATACAAATCGACTGTAGCCCTCTTGAATGGTGGTGCCGATCGGAGCAACGGCAGCGCTACCCTAGGCTAAGCAACATGGCTATCTCTATTCTTTCTATCGCTGCAGAGTCGTCCGAGCCAGAGAGAACATTCTCAGGTGCAAGAAGAACCTGTTCATGGGATCGGTCGAGGCTCACTTGCGCCAACATTGAGAAGATCGAGTGCATTGGCAGTTGGCTTAGGGAAGGCCACATAAAACCGTGTTCTCTCAACGGAATGGGTCTACCAATGGAACCAGAGCAAGATGACGAAGCAGAGATGATAGGGGATGAGGTAGAGGAGATTCTAGAATGGACATAACCCGGTCTTGGCATGATGTATCTTATATCGTTTTTATATCGTTTATATCGTTAAACGCTTTAACGTTATAAGGATTTTTGCTTAAACGCGTTAACGTTTTAAGGTTTGCCAAAACGATTTAAAAACGATTTGCCCATGTATGCTGCCTGGAGTTGAGTTGCGCGTTTGAAGGCAGCGTAGTAAGAGTTCCAGCGTGTAACAACAGGCTTCACAGGCTCAAGTACGTGGAGGCGCTCTCTAGCTGGCAACTCGGCGTTGGCGGCGGTTTGGAAGCTTCGGAAAATTTCGTGTTGTTGAGGCGTTTTTATATGGTTGATAACGTCGATAAGTACACCTAAGGGCCCTTCTTGACGCCACTCCTGCATGTACACCTCCTCTGTTTGGAGCTGCTCGTCGTTGTTGTTGTTGTACGCCTCTTGATTGCTGCCAAAGATAATTGCCTGGCCAATAAGGTTAAGCGTGTGAGGGCCGCAGCGGAGGCGTCGGTGAGCAGCGTTGAAGTCGTACGCGTGGGCGAGCGAGGAGACTGCAGTATCGTTGTTTGCAGCATTGTCGAGGACGAAGTAGCCGAGTTTATCACTCCCAATACTGTATTCTTGGAGCGTCTTTTTAATTGTATCAGCGATAGCATCACCAGTATGAGAGCCTGCGAGATGTGGGAGGGCGATGGGGAGATCTTGTATCACTCCAGAGGCGTTAGCAAAGTGTGCAACGACTCCAAAGAATCCACGCTTGCCACCCTTTGTCGTCCAACCATCAAAGCTTATGTGGATCTTGCTTGCAGCTTCTGACAGAGCGCAGACAATCTGTGGCTGCATATATTGGAAGAGGCGCATTGCGTAGGTAGCTACACTGCGAGGACTTACCCACAAAGCTGCCTCTGCCTCTGGGTTTGCAAGGCTAATCATCTCGCGAAAGGACGGCCTTGCAAGTAGCTCCATTGGCAAGTTGTTATCAAGAAGGCAGAACACTGCAACTTCACGAAACTGCTGGATGTTGAAGTTGCCCATCGCGTTGGCAGCCTCTTGAGAGACTGCAACACCAGTCTCCAGCGTCTGTCGTAGAGAGAGTTGCTGCCCTGTTCTTCGAGGCTTCAGGCCGTCTTTTGTAAAGCCATGGCCTCGTTTCTGAAGGCCAAGATGAGCTGCAGCTGAGGAGGTGGCCTTTGATACGTCAAAAACTCCACTGCCGCCAGTGTCAATGACCTTGTGGATGTGGCAGTATTTGCATACAAACCACACTCGATTCTGATCGTAGAGCTCAACAACGCGATATCCATGTTGAAAGATCCAACTCTTGACGCGCCGCCCAGTTGTAAGAGGCTTCATGAACCGAGGGAGGCGATCCCAGTTAATGCCGTCAAAGTTATCGCCATTATCAGGCTCTGTATCAACACTAGCCTCTGTTGTTGCTGCTGTACCAGCCTGGCTGCCCTCAGCCGCACCCTCCTCCTCTGTTTGCGACTCGAAAAATTGCGACTCAAACGTTGTGGCCTGGCTTACGGCGGCGCCAAGGGTTTCCTGAGGCGACAGCGATCGCTGAGATAGGACAGAGGGCCTTGATAGGCGCGCCCGTTTGGCGGCGGCGGCGGCGGCAGCAGTATTGGTGGGAACTCGAGAGCGTTTGGCCATCGTGGGCGATACTAAACACTAAAGAAAAATGTCTGTATAGGTAGCTAGGCAACTAGTGTTGTGTGTAAGGGATTATTAGGGAACTGAGTGAGCGAAATCGTTGTTGTATTAAGAACAGCGAAGGACTAGCTATATAGGTGCGGGGTGAAGCCTAGAAGAGGCTAGCCCCTAAGCAGAAGGAGCTAGTCCTATAAGAGGAGAGCTAGCTGGTGAGAAGTGAATGCATAGAGACTGGCTTGCCCGGCCGACAGGGATCACAAGCTAAGCGAGATAGGGGTCCAAGATAACTATCTTCAACACCAAAAACCTTCTCTTAATACGACACTACTCGCCTTACAACTCGTTAATAATAAATCAATCTAACTAATCAAATCAATCAATCTGACCTTCGCAAGTTGATTTGATTAGCTATTTTGAAAAGCTTAGATTGAGTTGATTGAGTTGGTAAAAACTCCAAATGACCAATCAAATCAATCAATCTGACCAATCTGGATTGATTGTTGCGGAGTCTGCCGTTACTACTTCAACCACGGAAGCAGAATTACTTGCTCTTTCCCAGGTGGCCAAGGAGGCCATATTCACGTCGCGACTGCTGAGGGAGCTTCGGGTAACTCTGAGCGATCCAACAATCACAATCAAATGCGACAACCAACAGACCATCCGACTAGTCACAGAGGACGTAGCCAAACTTCAAACAAAACTTCGGCACGTTGATATACACAATCACTGGCTACGACAAGAGGTTACCCGAAAGGTGATCAAGGTAGAGTAT